GTCCTGCCATGGCTGCCATGCAGATGTCTTCCCTCAGTGTTTGCGGTCTCCCACCATGCTGTTTCTTCTGCCCCGATTTATGCTTTTTAGCGGCCCTAATGGTATTGATTTTTCTGCTTCCTGACATGAGAGCAAATAGGGGTTTTCTTCTTGGTTTCAGCTTGTAGGGTAGAATGTTTATCATACAGTTTTGTGTCAAGTTCTTCTTATTGACTCCAAGAACGTTTTAAGAATTGGTTCTGAATCTGCAGGCACATTTTTTGGAAGGCACTTTGATTTTCCTGACCCATAGTAATGCTAAGATCTGGAGGACAGAGGCATATCGGTTTCAAATAGGTTAAGGTTTTTCCTGTTTGTGTGTGTTTTTGAGTCAGGGTCTTGCTCTGTTGCCTGGGCTAGTGTGCAGTGGTGCGATCATAGCTCACTGCAACCTGAAACTCCTGGGCTCAAGCTATATCCTCCTGCCTCAGCCTCCTGAGTAGCTGTAACTACAGGTGCACACCACCAGGCCTGGATAATTTTTACATTTTTGTAGAGATGGGCCTAGCTATTGTTGCCCAGGCTGGTCTTGAACTCTCAGCCTCAAGAGATCCTTCCTCTTCGGCCTCCCCAAGTGCTAGGATTATAGGCGTGAGCCACCACGCCCAGCCAGTTTAAGAGGACTCTTTCAGCCACAAATGGAGTGAGGCATTTGCTTAATGAGGGGAAGAGCATCATTCACTGAACCAAATCTCAGTGTCACAGGTGAGCTGATGAGAGCAATCTCAGGTGAGGTGGCAGAAGTGGTATAAACAGACGCAAGCACTTATTAGGAAGAGATAAGAGCCAGCCAACAGTCGCAGTGAGCCAGCAGTGTTTCCATGGAGCATTCAAGGCCTGGAGTGGGGCCTGGGCACAGATCTCCACCATGGAGGAGGATGCTGGGTACTTAAGTCACTGGCTTCTGAGTGCCTACCTGGCCCCCTCCTGGAGCTCACAGTACACTCACAGGCAGTGCAGATGTCTCCTAACACCCATCCCTACCGCCTCTGTCACAGAGCCCTGATGAGGCTCAGTTACCCCTCCTCCTGGTGGCTGTGTGTTCAGGGGATGCTAGACCCAGCCCCAGGCCCCAAGGGTCTAGGCCAATCACAGTGGGCCCATCTCCTTGCCCATGATTGGTTGAAGCATGGGTTCATGACATATTCTGGCCAATTGGGACCTGAAGGGAGATGGGATGGGGACCTCTGGACCAGTTCCCTCACTCCTAGACACACAAACAAGAGATGGCCCTCTTCCTGCTTCTGGGGTGATACCTGAACTCTGCAGCTACCTTGCCATCACGAGGACAGCAGGTCTACAAGAAGAGCCCACAACTCAAGGGAGACTGAGCTCAAAGAACGGCAGCTTGAGCGCTGACCATTCTGGGCCTGGAGCCATTCTACCTTTGGACTTCTTCGGTGAGACAGCCTCCTCTGTGTAAGCCAGTTAAGTTGGAGTTTTCTGATCTTTGCAGTGGAACATCTTAGCTGATACAAGTATACAAAGTTCCTTCACTTTACTTCCCCCACAGCCATGAGGATTTTGAGTCAAGTACATGAGTTGTTCTTGTTTTATACAGTCAGAAGGACCCCCGGAACCTGCAGGAAGGGGAAAGGGAGATAAATCCAGCAGCAGAGCAGCAGGAGTGCTGGGCACAGCCTGGAGGGATAAGGAAACCCAGGCGTTCGCCGTGCCGCTACGTGCATTTAGAGGCCGGGGAGATAAGACAAAGTAAGGGGGCCCCGTGACCTGAGCAAGGGAACAAACGATTCTTAAATCATAACATTTTTAAGTGCTTTTGAAAAAACAGATGAAAATAATTTTTAAAAAGGAAAAAAGCATTGACAACAAAAATAAAGATAATTGGAAAAAGAAAAAGCACTGGTATTTGGATAAGACAACAGACGCAGAGAGAAATTTTCAGCAAAGAAGCCAAAGGAATTACATAACAAATGGGAGGGGTTCCTGAAGAATTTCTAGCAAACAAGAGACACGACAGGAAGTTAACTGTACTCCCCACAATTACCAGTGTGAGGGGCAAATACCACTGGCTTTTTAAATTCAGTGTGTTAAGTTTTATTTCAGCAAATAAAAAATATCTCTAAGAACTTTCAAAGGTTCTCTCTTTAGCATGCCCTCCCTAACCCAGTTTGCTCGAGAACTGTGAATTTTCCTGCCAATGGGGTGAGCAGAAACTGGTCCCGTGTGCTTGAAGGACGACTTACTCCCATCACCGTGTTCACGTGCTCATGCAAACAGATGGATCCCTCTAGTGTCCCAGACACCGTCCTCTACGATCATTTGGGAATTGTATTGACTGCTTCCTGGTGAGGGTGTCTTTCCCTGCACATGGGCCTTTCTTTTCTAAAAGCCTTTGGCCTCCTGAAAGGCAGGGACTGGGTCACTTATTTGATTTCTTCTATCTATAGTGTCTAGCAGCGTTACTAGGTACATTGTATGTACTCAAGTAAGTCTTGCTTAATTATATTTAAAGTAAGTCTCCCGCTTAAATGAGAGAAACCCTTGGAGGATCTTACCTCTGATACCATCATTTTGTGCCAGGATGCAAGGGGAGTCTTTGAGTTTGGTTTTTTTTTTGAGACAGGGTCTCACTCTGTTGTGCAGGCTAGAGTGCAGTGGCATCATCACAGCTCACTACAACCTCAACCTACAACTTGAGCCCAGCCTACAACTCCTGGGCTCAAGCTCTGTCTTCCTGCTTCAGCCTTCCGAGTAGCTGGGGCTACAGGTGCACGCTACCACACCCAGCTAATTTTTGTATTTTTTGTAGAGTCAGGGTCTTGCTATGTTGCTCAGCCTGGTCTAGAACTCCTGGCCTCAAGTGATCCTCCCATCTCAGTCTCCCAAAGTGCTGTGATTTACAGGTTTGAGCCACCGCACCCAGCCAAGTTAGACTCCTGGACCGCTGCCTGCCCTGGGTCTGTGCAGAAGGTTGACTTTGGATCAGAGGCCTCAGAGGCTCACCTACACAGCAGCCGGAACCTCACCCCCGAGCAGAAGCCAAAGAGGTCAGGGACTTTCTCCTGTGAAGAAAACAATCTTGATGCCTGTAAACTGATATATAAATTGTAAGAACTGAGCAAATCTGTATAGAGTGTATGCCTACGTCTATGATAAAATTAAGCCGACAAGAGTCTGGAAATAACAAGTGCACGGGTCAAGGGTCAGGACTGAGTCGAGGCATGGCAGCTGACGGGTCTTGCGGGTGACGTGCCTACATGTCGTAGAGCCGGAGCTGCTCCTGCACGTCGCCGTCGGACATCTCGCCAAACGTCTCCTTGTTGTCTTTCATGAGCTTGAAGATGGCGGCCAGCTGCTCCTTCTGAACTCTGTCGGGAAGAAAGGACAAAGAGGAAAAAGGCGCTCCTAACCCAAGGAGGAGAGAGAGACCCTGCGCGAAGCTGGCGGAGTTAGGACTCTGCTCTCTCGTTTGTTACCGCTTCTGCTTTTCGGAATAAAGAAATGAAAATAAAACCCGCTTACAATGCAGGAGCTGTTTGGTCTAACACAGTCAAGTCGAGGGTTCTAAAAACCAGGAGTCTGGGTTTCAGGTTTACTACAGACGGCTGGGGACCCCAAGTATCACTTAGGTTCTCTGTGCCTCAGTTTCCCCTTGGGGCTCATTTCAGTGTTGATCGCATATCCCACAGTGAAGCAAGGAGGAAGAAGAAAGTTCCATTAAGTGGCTTGAGAGCCCACGAAGAACTAGGTTAGAAACAGCCTTGGTTTAGAGGGATGAGGCAAAAGCGGAGGAAGAAAAAACGTTACTGGTGGGGAGGCGGCGTGCACAGATGTGGGCGCGTGCAGATGGAGCAAGAGGGTGCCTGGCAGGGGGGGCAAGGAGGGCAGGCCGGAATCCAGCCCGTGGGGGTACGCTGCCCAGAGGAAGGGGTGCCTCTTTCTGATTCGCACGAAGACACCCTATGGCAGGGGGCGGCCGTGCCCCTTTCCAGGAAATGGGCGTGGACAGAGATTGGCCTTGATGTCCGCTGCACAGCTGTTTTGTGGCTGGGCGCAATGTCCCGTTATCTTTACGAGGCTCGGCCACACCATCTGGCCAGCCGGGTACAACTCCCACAGCACAAACATGAAAGGGCAGGGCCAAACTGCAGCAAAACCCAGGAACCGTGTGGTTTTGTTGGTTCCCCTCTAGTGCCCCGTGCTGCTCGGCGTGGCCAGGCGCTGCGTTCCGGCTCCGTCTCACTATTCTAGTTTCTTGTTTCTGCGGCCCCCGCCCTCCACACCGCACCACTGGTGTGGCGCCTTCAGAGACTGTACACCACACTGCAGGGTGGGACCCCTTTCGGCAGCTGGCTCTGCCGTTGGCACATTCCAGGTCCACCTTAACACGGGACTTGAGCATAGCTTCCGGGCCACCAGCATCCCCAACACTGCCTGGAGGGGTGGTCTCAACGTCTGGTCTTACACGTTTCCTACCATATTCTTCCTGCTACAACCTACCCTCCTCAGCCCCGTGTCGTCCATCTAGGAAGCAGTTTTCTGTCTAGAGCAGCATCTAGAAGTTGAAATACTAAAGTCCCGATTCCCAGCCTCCTTTGTCCCCCCAGGCAAGTTACGTCTACAGCCAGTTTCCCTGCCTGGAGAAGGAGCCTATGATTCGTACTTTGTGCCCTACGGTAGGAAGTAAGGGGTACCATGGACAGACCAGGGGTACCGTGCGTTGAGCTCCTTCGATGGAGTCGCAACCCAGATGTGTGTGTGGGCATCTCCCTGAGTGAACACAAATCATTTCATGTGGTTTTGATGGCCGTGGCGGTTGTATGTTTTTAACAGGGTGGACGCAGGACTTCCTACTCTGCTGGAGAGGGAGAGGCATCAAAAGGAAAGAGGGCTCACATTTTAATGGGTTCAAAAGAGATTAGTTTTAAAAACAAAGCAAACTGAAGAAACACACAGTAATCAAGATCATCTACTCAAAGTTTATTGGACTGAACAAAGGCTGATGACAGAGCTCTAAGCTGTCAGGAGTACAGGAGGCTTGGTGCCCACAAGCCACGATCAGGAAGTTCCCAGACAGGCCTAGATAACTACACTTGGAGGGAGCCACTACCCTTTGTAACAATAAGGTCCCAGCCCAGACAGGGCATCACTATTGCCGTTTGGGACACAAAAGTACATCTCGTCTTCGTCACGTGGCTCTGTGTCGAAGGCATTGACTGTGAGGCTGCTGCTTTGCTGCCTGTTCTGCCCTAAGCCCCGAACCTAAGGTATCAGGCCCAGAAGAGAAGGCCACTGGGAACGCACGCCCAGGAGTTGACACTGGACACTTCCCGGCCTTCCATTTTAAATGAAAAAAATGTCTATAAACTTACTGCTTTAAAAAATGTTTTAACCAACAAATCTAAGCAAATTAATTTGATATGGTATAAATATTGTCAAATATAAAATTCCAAGAAACTAATCTGGGACTGATCTGATTATTTGGTGAAGTTTTAAATAATCTATGAAACCTTCTAGGAAAAGGCATAGTGAAAAAATCTATTTTAAGCTAACATCGTTATTATTGCTTCTGCCAAAGCAAAGGTGGAGATTTGGCCGAGCTGGTAAGAACATCAGTGAAAAGGCCTCTTAGCAACAAGAGGGCTGGATCCAAGGGCAACGACCCAGTCAACACCTGGCACCGGTTCCTCGCTGCCCAGCAATCGACGTGGCGTCTCACCCTGACAGCTGGGCCAGCCGGGGAGAAAGAGGGACGCGGGGCCCCGAGGGGAAGGGCATGTCCACTGTCCCTGACGGAGCTGGTGGGCACAGGTGAGCTTATTTGTCTGTCAAACCTCAAAGTCTTTTGCGGTTTGGCTTCAGTGAGGGCAACAGGAGGGCTGGATGAAACTGTACTCTGGTTTTGAAATGTAGAAGCTGCTGAAGTTGGTGGGATCTAAGGGTCGAAGGGTGTGTGAGAGCAAGTCTAAGTGGTAAGAAAAATCAGAATCCAGGGGCTGAGCTCAAACCCTTAAAACCCTCCAGCGTAACGAAGCGGCCCATATTAAGCGGGGTGAGTGACTCTAGACGGGGAGTCAGGGGCCTTTCAGGACCCTGCTGGCCCAGGGCCACGTCCTGACTGCGGGTCTATTGCTCAGCAGGTCTGCGTAGGCAGGACGCGCCCGGAGCCTGCCTGGGCTGCTCTCTGGGGGTCTCCGTTTTATCTCAAGCTTTTAAGATGCCAAAAGGAAAAGGCTTTGGGAGGAGGCTAAGGACAACTTCGTTATTCTTCAGTTCTGTAAAGAGAAATAGGGAGAAAAAGATAATTTACTTTACTTGTCGCACCTTACACGTCCGGAGGGAGAGGAAAGGGGAAACCGGGGTGAGGAAGGAGATGTTTGGAATTGCAGAAGCCGCGCTGGGCCCTGGCTTCTCAAACACCTGGCACTTCGCGTCTCTTCACTTGCAGCAAGATAGTCTGTGCCGCAAAGCCGCTGGGTCCGCGCGGAACCTGGCAGCCGGCGATGGGCACTCAGCCTCTACGAGGTATTTTAGGGACGTGGGCAGGTGAGTTATGGGGCCTTTGATCCTTGGCTGTGTGCCTGCAGTGGTGATGGCGGCGACGTTCCTATCGCCCTAGGTAATTTCACATTCCCGCTGGCTGGGTTTTGTCCCCTCTGGGGATGCTGGCTCCCTACGAGGCTGCTTCCCCAGTTCCCCAGTCGGGCCCAGGGCTCCCGCCCATGGGGCGCTGAGTGTGCAGCCTGCCTGATTTTGTCCCTGCGGTGCCCTCTCGTGGCTGTCGGGGCCAGCGTGCGCCTCCAGCCAGAGCGAGGGACTCACACTGGCTGGCTTCAGGGATACATCAGGTTTAAGAACCAGAGATCCATCCCCAAGCTGTGCTGCCTCCGCCTCCTCCCTGTCCCCTGACGCCATGCAAGACACCCTCCTCCAGAGTCACCTCCATTTCCAGAAGGGTCAGGACGGTCCCACAGACCTCCACAGGGAGGGGTGTAGGGCTGGGGCCTGACCTGTCGGAGCCAGCCTAGGCTACAACCTGGGTTCTGTGTCCCCTCTGGGACCAGAAGGTGGGAGAACTGACGGAGCGGAGCTGACAGCTATGGTTTTCCTTCTTCCCGCCAAGCTGCAAACCAGCCAAGCCCTTGCCAGCATCACTAGCCTCTTGCTCAGGGAGCCGTCACCTGCCTGCAAGCCGACGGTCCCAGCCACATCCTTAAGCTGGAGGCGGCACCTCCCAGAGAAGCTGCGGCCGGGACCCAGGGACTCCCCCAGAGGCAGAGCCAATGTGGGTGAAGAGTGTGAACCTCGCGCTGAGGGGAGACCCAAGGGAGCGGCTGACAGCGACAGGCAGGGTCTTAGGCCGCAGCCACCTCTGGATTTACAGACTTGACCACTTTCTGCCCCACCCCAGCCCCGCAGAAGGAATCTGAGTGTGAGCAGCTCCGAGGATGGGGACGCCCCACCAAGCATGTGGAGGTCTAATGTGGGGCCTCCTGCCTCCAGTCCCGCTTCCTCACTGTCACGTCCTGAAAGCCTGACCGAGGCTTCTGGGCAATGCTGGAACCAGCAACCACTGGAGATGCAGGCTCTCCACACAGAGCCGCTGGTGAGCTAAGACACGTAAAGTGAGGGGACACGTGGCGTTTAACTGGGAACTAGCTGCCAGCTTGACTGGGGACCCTGAGTGCCAGGAAAGGGATCAGAAAGCAGCAGGGAGTTTGGCAGGGAGGAATCCGACGGGCAGAGAAGAGAGCGCCCTGCCTGCTGGCCTGTGGTTTTAGTGCTTTGACAAGAACGTGCATGTTACTGTTCATACTGATCATTCTAGCGCGGCTCCCTGGACTGGCTGGGACCGGAAGTGTGTCACAGCCGTCAGCTCTCCCAGCCCCCATGGGACTATCATGCTGGAGATGAAAAGACAAGGCCAAACTTACCGGCCTCTGCAACCCCAAGCATCACCATGTGAGGAATGGAAGTGACGTGGCGCCTCGTGGGGGCTGACTACATGCGGGGAAGGGCAGGAGGGAGCACGCAGGTGTCACGGGCATGCCGGAAAGCCAGGGGAGCATGCAGGCCAGGGCGGTGATGGGAATGAACGTGAACTCCAGCCCCGCCTCGTGGAGTCCACCAGCCCCTCCTTCTCAACTCAGGGCACAGAGTGACAGCTGCAGCGTGCAGAATGAGTCAGGGACTCCCCTCACCCCAAGAGCAGCACCTCGGGCACAGCCTCCATCCTACAGAATAGCCAAGTGTGAACTGGTGGTCCAGAAACCCCCGGAGATCCAGGGGGAAAGGCCCTTTTGGGCAGTGGAGGTCTGCTCTCTGAAAATGACAGAGAAAGGGTTTTCCCTCCCCATTTCCAAGGTCCCAGCTCTGAACACAGGGTGGCAGTGGCAGTCTGATGCCCAGCCTGAGGTCTTTGCGATGCTAGTATTCCCTCTAGACCCACGATTTCCATCAACCTGGGCGGGTAGAGACAGGCCGAGGTTCCCAGGGGCCTTTGAGGGCTGGCAGGTGCGTCAGGCCTTCTCTAGCCAGGGGCTGCACACTCTGCCTGTAAAGGGCCAGACACTACTTTAGGATTTGTGGGCTGTGCGGTCCCTGTTGCAGTGACTCACCTCTGCCATTGTAGCTCGAGGCGGCACAGACCACAGGAAAATGAATGGACATAGTTGTGTCCCAGTCACACTGGACCGACATGGACAGGCAGTGGGCCAGAGGTGGCCCCTGCTGAAGCCTGCCACCCTTGCCCTGATCCTAAAATCCTGCCTGTCCCACAGCTCAGCGGCACAGACTGTTCTCAGGGTGTCTGCTGTGCACTGTCCAATCCACTGCCTCACCTGCAGGGACCTAACAAGGCTACAAGGTGACAACATCTGCATTCTTGTGGCCCCTGAGGTCCCAGGGATGGCTGTGCCCTCAGTGTTACAAGGGGCACTGGCCCCCAGCCAGCTGGCCCACTGGGCCCACCAGGGACTTAGCCTCCAAGAACCTCTGCCCCGGAAAGGGGCCCTCTCTGCCAGCGATTCCTCGTGCTCGAGAAGGAGAAGGGCGGGATGGGAAACACATTAATCAGTTATGAAGGCGATGGAGGAGGGAGGTCCAGACCACGTCAGTGGTTTTGGGGACACGTTAGCAGACAGTGTGAGGGAAGCACCACTAGTCTAAGACGTCAATGTCCTTACCAAGAGAATTTGCAAGAATATATGTGGCTCAGGACCTAAGGAACTTGCTACAGGGAAGTGAGGTCAGAGGTCAGCTCAATCCTGAAATATAAAGGCAGCAAACCTGGTCATGCCAAGAGGCACCATCCTCAGTGCCCGAGGAGTTGGGGGCTCCCACCGGGGTCTTCCTGGTGGCTGTGCTTACACGGCCCCCCAACCCCGCCCAGGGGAAGAGCCTTCCTGCCAAGGGTTGGAGATGGGTGGCCTGGGGGCAGCCTCAAAGTGGCGGTGGAGTTCTGCATTCTGAAGTAATAAACCCTAAGCAGCTAGCCTCCGCTCAGGAGTAGGGGGCGAGCCCCACGAGCCCCTCTGGGTTGCCAGGCTCGGAAAATGGCACGGCTGCCATTTAGACTCCACTTTAACCAGAGGACCCCCAGAGCCCGGTGTAAACCTCCGAGCCTCCCCTACCCTGTGGCTTCCGGGCTGTCCCGCTGCTCCCAGGGCCCTCTTTCCACCCCGGAGCTGAGAAAATGGGGGTGTCCAGATGTGTGGGGAAGCCCAGTTCTAACCAGGAGAAGCCGCAGCTGCACTGCCCAGGAGCTCCCCGGAGCTGGGCAGATAAAAGGCGGCCGCAGGCGCGGTGGGGCGGGAGCCGCGGAAGGATAAGCACTGAGAGGCCCAGGAGCTCTGTCCCGAGGGATGAATGTGGACTCCACGCATAACTGAACATCTCGGTCTGCTCCTGGCTCTTTCCTGGCGTCTCATTGTTTTTAGGTGGAGGGGAGGGGTGGGGAGAACCGGGCTCTGTGCCCATCCCCATCACGTGCGGCCTCCTCCCAGCCAGTGCCCCAGGGGACCCTCTGCAGAGCCTGCCTGGCTAGTGCCAGGGCAGGAGGAGGCCCACCACAGGGGCCCCACCTACCTCTGCTCCTCCTCCAGCTCTTCTTTGGTCATCATCTTCTTATACTGGTTTCCCCTCAGCTTCCCAGGGCTGTATTTAAAGGAGAAGGCCTCTCCTGCAGAGAGGGGACAAGGTCAGGCGGGCCCCACACACTCTTCCCTTTGATAGCTTTTAAAGGAGCACCCGGTTGAGAGCAGCCCCAGGCTGTCCTCGCAGGCTGCACCTCACCTCACTCCACAGCTTCCCAGGAGCTCCTCCCTAGAGAGAAACCACCCTGCAGTTCACAGCTCTGTCTCTGCTCCCCCAACACAGCTGCCGTCTGCGAGGTGCTCTCCCCTCCCCTTGCAGGGCCCCCCCACCACTGCTGGACACTTGCTGGGCCAGGGCCCTCACCTCCTTCTCCCAGGCTTGGGAGGCAGGCCCTGCAGCCCAGGCGTGTCCTGGCATCCTCCCCTGCCCCTACAGTTATTAGAAATCTGAAAAAGACACAGCAGCCCACACCGGGCCGTGCCAGTGATGCGGGAATTGTCACAGCCGTTGGAAGCACGGCACTATTGCTGACCGGGCCTGGCGGGACTTGGCAGTTCCTGTGGGCAGGCCCCACGGCTGCCTGCAAACAAACCAGAGAGCAGCTCTCCAGGCCTGAGGAGGGTGCCCTGGGCCGGACAGAGGCAAGGTGGGACCTGGGGCCTGGAGTGAACACGGTGCCGGGCGCACAGGCCAGGGCAGGTGAGGGCTGAAGGGCAGAACAGAGAAGCTGAGCATCCGCAGCGAGAAGCTGGTCCCCACATCCAGCAGTGTCAGCTGGAGCCCCCGCCAGCACTGGGGACGGAGGCTGCCTGGCCTGTCTTATCTAACCCCGTGAACTCCAAGGACCCAGCAAGGAAGTCTCGGAGATCAGGAAATGTCTTTTTCAGTTGCTATTCGAGAAGCAGCTGTGCTGTCCCTCCAATGCCACCTCACCTCCTCCAGCAGCTGTCACCTCCTCCTGGCAGCGGTCACTATCGGACAGGCTGAGGCAGCTCCAGGGGAGGAAAAGGCCTCTCAGATCAGGTTCTCGGGGGAGGGGAGGAAGAAGGCTCTGGATGTAAATTCAGAGCCCAAACAGTACGTTGCGGGTGTTGTGTTTTCCTTTAGAAGGAGAAAGCTGGCCCCTTCCTGCCCGCTGCCTCACCCCAGCCAACTGCCTAGGGGCTAACACTTTTCCTTAGGCAGCAGCTGCGACATCTGCTTGTTATTCAATCCACAAATATTTAGTTGAGCACAATTCTAGGTGCTGAGGATGTGACCGTGAATAAAACACGCAATGAGCAAATGCAAGTAATTAACAAATGCAGTTTGCAGTTGGTTGGAGTGTTCTGCACGCAGGGACAGCAGAGGCAGGGAGGGCTGCTGGGAAGGTGACATCAGGTGGTTGAGGAGCGCTTCACCACTGGTGCCGTCCTGGGAAGCTGGGAGGGTGCGAGCCCTGCGCGTCTGGGAGGACAGCCCCACCAAGGGCCTGGCCGAGCCTGCCTGGGGGTCAGAGGAGTGCAAGGTGGCAGTGAGCCAGGGGACAACATGGTGGGAGGGGACCTCGGGGTCCTGGGGCAGAGACAGGGGCCATCCTTCCTCCCTCCTCACTGGAACCCCACTGCCCCAGGCCGGCTTTCCCCTCCAGCTCAGCTCTGCCCGGGCTGAAGTGCAGAGGCCTGGATTCCCAGCCCTCTGGGACATCTGGACACCCCCATTTTCTCAGCTCCAGGGTGGAAGGAGGGCCCTGGGAGCAGCGGGACAGCCCGGAAGCCACAGGGTCGGGGAGGCTCGGCGGTTTGCACCGGGCTCTGGGGGTCCTCTGGTTAAAGTGCAGTTCCCGTTTCCTCTGGGCCTGGGAATCGGGGGCTCTCAGGGCTGGGGGGACCTGGGGCTGCTCTGCGTAGTTGGGGCTGCTGTCTGAGCTGCTGCGGTCATCCTGAAGGAGCGCGGGCCTGGGTGGTGGGTTATCACGGAAGCTCTGAGGATACAGCACACCCAGACAGCAGCTGCCTTTGGAGCTGAAAGAGGCGACTGACCAAGAAAACTGACGGGGCTGCTTGAGACAGCGGGGGCATAGCAAAAAAGAAAAAAGAAAGGAAGGAAAGAAAGGAAAGAAAAGAAAAGAAAAGAAAGAAAGAAAGGAAGAAAGGAAGGAAGGAAGAAAGAAAGAAAACTAACCCCAACATTAGGGTCACTGTGTTGCTATGTTTTAGAAAATTAAAACATAAACAAATCCTGCCAGCTGGGTGGGGACTAGGTTTCCATTTATGGGGAGGTCTGATTAGCTTTCTGTTTTCCGAGCCGGATAGAACAAATGACTTTGACTTAATCACATGCTGGGACCAAGTGATACAGACGCATCCAATTTTGCTAGACCAGGAGGGTTCCATCTGAGAGCCCCCTGGGGAGTGGGGAGGCTTCCTCTTCCAGTCTCATGTCACTCAGGGAAGTCATTTTAGCGACACTAATCAATTAGCCTCGGAAGCTGGGCTGCTCGCTGCAGAGGGGCTGGGGGCCACGCATGCTTTCTTCTGACAGCCGCAGCCAGAAGCCTTTCCTCCCTGCCTGTTAGGGATGGCAGGAGGCGGCTGGGGCTGCGATGTCCAGGGCAGTGGCGCAGATAAGGAGGGAGGGCTGAGGGAGGGCCCAGTGATGGGCACTGGGCTGGGTGGGGCTGTGCCCTTGGGCTGTGCATCGGTGTGACAGGCACCTCTGGGAGAGTGGCCTGCTGAGGCTCTCTCGTCCTTGCCCAAGGTCCCCTAGCCTCGGCTCTGACCTCCTTTTTGCGTCCTCAAGTCACTAATAGGATCCCAGCATCTGAGCAGCCGTCTTGGGCCATGTGGCAGGGACAGATCCTAGGGCCACGGCTGCTCTGAGTCCCTACCTCGAAGATGACCCGGGAGAACCAACAGCAGAGAGCAAGGGTCCTCCCTGGGGAGGGGCTGACGTCCCCGCTGCTGCCTGGGCCTTGGCTGAGAGTCCGGCCCCTCCCCCACTCAGAGGCCACTGGGAGGGAAAGGACAGGCCTGCTGCGCCCACCCACGGGAGCCTGTTGCCGCATTCCTGAAATCCTCTCTTTCCACTGCTCCTGCCGCAGCCGACTTAAAGTCATAGCAACAGTCTTGCATTTTAAAAATTACAAACTATTTCAAACATACACAAAAACATAGAAAGTACTAAGTCCTCCTGTGCTTGCTGTGCAGACGTAACAAACACTGACATTTTGCTATAATGTCAAACCTCAGCTTTTCTTTAAAAGTAAGAAACCATGACAGGTCCAGCAGGAGCTGCACTCTGTGTTTTGTCCTGTCTCTGTCTGTCGGGGGCAAGCGCCCCGCCATCCCCACCGGGTGGGAACCCGGCAGTCTCCTAGCGGCTCTCAGTCCCTCCCTTTCTCGTGTCCCAGCCTCTGGCAGTCTGGGGGCCCAAGGCCTGGCCAGTTGGCCGGAGCTGCTCAGACACCAGGCGTGTCCTCCCCAGGGCCTTCATTCCGCAGCAGGCACGGGTAGCGGCCTTGTGAGCAGCTTCTGACTCCATAAAATAGGTCAGAGAGGTTTGGAGAGAAACGTGAAATGCATGACGTGGTCCCAAGCGCAGAGTTAAGAGGCACCGCAGGACAGACGTCAGGGTGCCTAGTGTACTCACCAGATGGGCCCCTGAGTCTGGAGGTGACTCACACTTTACAGATGGAAAAGCCAACACCAAAAGTGCAAGCGAGGTGGGCAGGGAGGTGAGCAGGGCACTGGCTGGACATCCCGGAGCCAGACTGAGCCTCTCAGCCCACCCCTCAGCCCACTGCCCCACCCAGCCCATTCCCTTTGTCCTGCACTCAGACGCCAGCTCCGGGGACCCCCAGGGGGGGATAGGCCACTCCAGACACAGTCAAACCCCCTCGGTGAGAGCAGAGGTCCCACTCACCATCCTCTTCCTCAGGCCCTGCTTGGGTTGGCCCCTTCTCACCGTTGGAGTCCTGCTCCTCCTCCTGCAAGACAAGGACAGGGTCAGCGCCCTCTGAAAAAAATGGGTGACAGCTAAGTCTTGGGCACTTTCATCCAGGTGTTTGAAGGTTCAGTAGGACCAAACTGATCCCTGGGCCAAGAAGGAGAGATATGAGCCCGAGGGTGGGGGCTGGGGTGGGAGATGGGGAAGTGGTGGGTGGGCAGAGGGTAGGGGAGAGACGGGGAGGGCCTCGAGGGTCCAGCTGTTCTTCCCCAAAGCAGCACCTGCCCTGTAGCCTCGGTCAGCCAGCCGGTGGGGGCTGTGATGGTGGCGCAAACACCGCTGGGCCAAGGCGGGAGACTCTGGGCCAAGGAACCGTGTTCCTTCACCTGTGCACCGAGAGCCCATGACCTTGACCCTTCCCAGGCAGGGAAGCATTTGGATGCCATCTTGCTAAGTGAGCCCGGGACTCCCACCCCCTCACTGTGGAGAGTGGACAAAGGGCCGGGCTATCTGGGACTGGGCCTGGCAGCCGGCGATGGCAGGCTCCTTCTTTGCTTCCTCCCACGTCGTTCCCCCACCCCCATCGATCCCAGTGTCCACTTTCCTAAACTGGAGCTCCACCGCTGCCGCCCGGTTCTCTCCCACGCACAGACACAATCAACAGATGGCCGGAGGAACGCCCGGACGGCCTCGGTGGAAGGAAGGAGTGACTTCAACTTGCAGGAATGTCAGGGGATGACAGGGTGAGCCGATGGGCTCCAGCTCTGTGGGACAGAAGGGCGTGGGGAGGGGACGTGGGACCCCAGGAACTGCGACCTGGAAGCCCAGCCAGCCGAAGTGGACACCACTGCAAAAGCGCGAATACAAACGAGCTGCGCAGTGTGGAGCAGGCGGCACAGGGACAGGCCGACCCCAGGGTCCAGGCAGTGTTGGCAGCTCGGGCGGAGGCTCCTGAATCAGGCAGGGAGCTGAGCTGGGCGGTGGCCTGGAGCTCCTCAGAGTGACTTTCTCACTGCATGAAATGCTGCCTGACAGGAGGTGGGCGGCAGTTCGCACTCAGTGCTGTCTATAAAGTAAAAGCCCTCGGGTAGCGACATGGGGGCTTGGGTGTCCCGACAGCTCCCCAGTGTTGCACAGCAAAGTATCTTTGTGGCTGAGCGGGTAGCAGCCCCTTCAGGGGGCAGGAAAGGGGAAGTCGCCCCCCGCCCCATGCAGCAACCCCCTGCTAGGGATCTGCCAGAGACAGAAAAACGTCTATTGGGATTTTTGAACAATGACCCTGACTGTGTGCAGGAGAAAACAGACAGAACTGGAAACAACAAAATGTTTACCTGTGGAGTTAAGTATGTTATATTAACAGCTAAATACACCTGGTTAACATGCAAACCTAAATATTAACCGGTGAAATACACCACGGAGCGTGTACACCACGCGACGCTGCGTTCGAAAGGAGGCGTCGATGCCTACTGATGCGAAAAGCGCACGATAGATCATCAAGGGGGAAAAGCAGGACGCAGCCCAGTGTGAGGGGCCAATCTTGGTGTAAATGTCAGAATGGAAGTGCACAGACATGCTCATAAACACAGAGAGAAAGTTTTCTGGAAGGACCCACAAGAAACTGTTAACACTTTCTCTTTGGGAAGACGAGCTTGCGGGAGGTGAGGGAAAACCTTTCCTTTTCATCTTACACGTTTCAGGGGTTTTTTGTTTGTTTGTTTTTAAGACAGGGTTTCACTCTGTTTCTGGGGCAAGAGTGTATTGGCGTCTTCCTAGCTCACTGCAACCTCACACTCCTGGGCTCAGGCGATCCTCCTGCCTCAGCCTCCCTGGATTTTCTAATAATATGCATGAATATATTTTTAGAATGCTAACAGGGGTCTTTGGACACTGAGAGTGGGGCTTTTCCAAAATTTTCTTCTATATTCTAAAAAAGAGAAAGGAAAAAAAGAATGACTGTAACATATTAAACGTATATATATTTTGCCTCTGCCCTCGTTCCTGACACAGAGCTTCTAAATCCCTTGGAATTTCCTAAGTTACAGGGATAGTAGGAACATCTTTTGTTCTAGTATTTGGTCTTTGATCCCAGTCCCTGGCACAAAGCTCCTAAATCCCTTGGAATTTCCTGGGTGACAGGAGCATTGTTTGTCTAACGAGGCGACTCTTGGTGGGCCTCTGGGTAGGGGCAGAAGCTTGGAACTTTCAGCTCCATTCCTGTCCTCTAGAGACTGAGTTAATAATCCATCGCACCCACGTGACAAAGCCTCCATGAATGTCCCTACGCAGGGGGTTCCGGGAGCTTCCAGGCTGGCGAATGCCTTCACGTGTAGGGAGTGGCACAGCCCAACTCCACGGGGACAGCAGATCTTGCACTCAGGACCCTTCTGGGCCTCACCCCATGTACGTGCCTCCCTCTGGCTGTTCACCTGTTACTGTGTCGTTTATAGCCCGTAGAGAGAAGTGTTTCCCCGAGTTCTGTGCACCGTTGTAACAAATTACTGAACTTGAGGAGGGGGTTGTAGAGCCCCCAATTTGTAGCCAAGTAGGACAGAAGTGTGGGTGACCCACTGACGGTGGTTGGCATCTGAAATGGAGGGTCTTGTGGGACTGAGCCCCTAACCTGTGAAGTCTGCACTGACTCCAGGTAGTTCGTGTCAGAAGTGCATTGGAGGACGCCCAGCTGGTGTCTGGGCCATTGGAGAACTGGCTGGTGGGGGGTAAAAACCACGTATTTGATATCAGAAGTGAAGCGTTCATTGTGTGAATGTACAGAAAACAGTTGGTTTTCCCTTTCAGTTGGAGTCTCTCTTTAAGGACAAACAGCCACTGACCTACTCAGGGCTGGGCCACAGAAATAAGCCCCATATTAAGAACAGAGAGGGAGCCGATTCTCCCATTATGTGCAAGGGACACAGAGATTAAAAAACAACAACAAAAATGAGCACAGTCCCTGTCTTAAGGAGCTCATGGTCCAGCAGAAAAGACACACACACAAATAACAGCAACCCAGGGAGAGAAGTTCAGGAGCCGGGTCAGACCTGTTATTCCAAAGGACGTGGTGTCAGCTGACCTGCGAACGCCCTCCTGAGCAGAGGCTGGTAAACACTGAGATTTTGCACTTGACTTCTGAAGTGTGGTGTTATTTTTAAACTGTGGTCATGACCCATTGATGGGTCTTGAGAGCAATTCAGAGGTTGCTACTAATATTTTAAGGCAGCGGTCTCCAACCTTTTTGGCACCAGGGACGGGTTTCGTGGACTCCAGTGATCCTCCTGCCTCGGCCTCCTGAGTAGCTGGGACTACAGGTGCGTATCACCATGCCTGGCTAATTTTTCTATTTTTTGTAGAGATGGGGTCCCTCTCTTCCTGAGACTGGTCGTGAACTCCTGGCCTCAAGCGATCCTCTTGCCTCAGCCTCCCAAAGTGCTAGGATTATAGGCATGAGCCACTGCGCCTCACCAGAAGTTGCCCGTGAATGCTGTGGTTCCAGCCAGATCCCCCAGTTGCGACAGTCAGACGGTCCCCCCTCCCTCCACCTCACCTGGGTGGGCTGAGGCATGGGGACATGATCCATGGGCCTAACTTTTGCCTAGGGGACAAGGGCCCTCCGGTCCTGGAGCTGGGAGCTTGGGACCCGGGAGCTGCCTAGGGTGGGCCCCGAGGTGGAGAGTCTGGTTGGAGAGTCCCTGAGGCCATTCCACCCCTGCCTCCCCCATACGTGAGCCGCTCAGCTCCTATTCCTGCACAAGCGACCCAGAGCTGCGTTTCTGTCACCAGCAACCAGAGCCCTGACCACTGTGTCCACTGTCCACCGACACCCCACCTGCCCACCACGCACCGCATTCAGACTTTCCAAGCCAAGAACCTCTTGAGTTCTACGGGGTGGGGAGCGGGTGAGGGTTGTATAAAAATCGAGAGTTTTTGGAGCGGTTATCAAACTGTGTTCCAAGGAGGTGCCCCAGGGTCTTTCCACGAGGGCCAGGATCTGGGCTTCTAGCAGAAAGAAGGGCTTTTAGAGAACATATTAATAATAATAATAATGATAGGAAGGATTACATTTTTTAAAAAGTAAAACACCACTATTTACTGCATTTTGCCCTTATTTTATGAAAATGTATACACAACAGAAAAGTGGAAGTGCTGATGTCCTAAGAAGGGCCAGTTTCAGAAACAGTGCCCTTGAGACAAAGAGGGAAGTCCCCCTGCAAGTGGTGGCTCTGAGCCTCAGCCCAAGGCTCTCCGCGCCGGGTTGGCCAGTGGTGCGCCGACGGGAGGAGAGGCTGCAGTGAAGCCCTGTGCGAGGTGTAAGCACGGCGTCGTCTAAGGCTCTGTCCAGAAGAGAGCTGCACTCAGGGTTTACCTGTGGACCTTCCTGACAGCAAGTCTCGCTTCTCCTCCTGCCTTGGCACGCTCGGTTTGGCAGCTCTGTTTGCAGGAATGTGCGCAGTGGGGCCTGGAGGAAGGGGAGCGCCTCTGAGTCTGAGGGGAGCAGGGAAGGCCTAGAGGGGACAAGAATGCCACGCCGGGTTCTGAGACGGGCTTGCCAGGCAGACTTAGAGGGACCGGCTCTCGGGGTGGAGAGCACAGCCCTGGTAAAGGCACGAGGCACAGAACACCATGGCTTTGCCAGTGGCTCCGTGGAGCTGGGTGTGATTGCAGGGTGGGTGTTCAGCGTGAAATGGCCAGAAATGGGGACGGCCACACTGAGCTCAGCCAGGACCGGTCCTGGAGACGGCACAAACCCGACAGAGCACCCGGCTGCTCTGCAGGTTCACTGTGGATTTCCTGTCCGTGCCCTTGGCCCAGGAGAGCTGCATGGTAGCCATGTGTTAGGAGCTGGACTGTGCAGCCCCCACCACCCCATTCATAGGTTGAAGTCTTAACCTCAAGTACTCTTTGGAGACAGGGCCTTTAAAGAGGCGATGAAGTTAAACTGAGGCTATTAGGGTGGGACCTAATGCAAGGACTGCTGTCCTTACAAGAGGAAATTTGGACACACAGAGACTGGAGGCACCACTGGGCTGGGCAGTGGGCTGGGAC